GCAGTGCCCGCAAGCTCTTCACCCAAGTGCTGGAAAGACTCGGGCACCATCGAGGCATCTGCCCCCGAATCCAGGATGATCTCGCACTGCTTGCCGTCCTGGGCCTCGTTCTCGGCAGCGGGGCCTTTGCACTTATACTTTAGAAAGGTTACGGCGCGCACCGAGTAGGTGATGTCAAGCTCCTCCTCGTCGTCGGCCATATCATAGACCTCAAGGATCGGTGCCGTCGGCGGGGTCACCATGCGCACCATCCGAACCCCTTTCCCGCTCTGGGCTCCGCTGGCTGTGGTGCTCGTCGTCGCGCTGGCCGTGGAAGCTCCGGACGGGGTTGCTGGCCCGCTCTGGTCCTCAACCTGCTGAACTCGGCCTCCTCCTCGTCCTTTGCCTTTGGGTGGGCTCCAGCAGTCTCTCGCGTAGTGCCCTCGCTTCCCACAGTTGAAGCACTCGGGGGCTGCAGCACCTCGGCCGCTGCCCTTTCCTTTGCCTTTCCCTTTGCCCTTCACGTCTTTGCCTTTGTTGCTACCCTTCCCGTCCTTGCCCTTCTTGCCCTTGCCCTTCCCGTTCTTGCCCTTCTCCACGCGGTCGACTTCCATTGGAGCTGGGCCGTTGCTGTCCTGAAGGGAAGGCATGGCAAGGCTCGAGGTTGCGTGCCACCTTGCAGTCGACCTCTCATACAGGAGGATCTTGTCTCGGACCTCCTGGTAGCTGGTCGTGGGCCCAAGCGCCATGTGCAACTGAGCCTGGAGTGCCGGGGGCGCAGCAGCCACCAAAGTGGAGATGCGCAGGTCCTCAGAGTACTTGCTCCCAGACACTCGCTCATACTCCCGGATGAGCTCCTCGTAGCGCCCGACCTGCTCGTTGATGGGCCTCTTCGGGTCCAGCCTCGTCGCCGTCAACTGCGAGGCCAGAGCAAGCTGCCGTTGCCTGCTGCTGGGCATCATCTCAACAAGCAGCTGCCGCCATGCCTCGTAGCCATTGCTGCGCGTGACGGCGCGCACCATCTTGGCTGGCCGGTTCCTGACGAAGCTCAGGAGGATGGCGTAGAGCTCGCGAGAACGCATCTGCGTGTCGCTGTCCATCTTCTCCATGAGCTTCTCCTCGCTGGACTGGGCCTCGACCCACTCAAGCTCCTCCACGAACTTGCTGTCGATGACCCCCAAGTAGGAGACGAAGGCAAACCTCCAATCCACCCACTGGTCTGTCTCCTGGTCCCGGGTCTCAGGCTTATATATATCGGGCCGCTGCACCAGTCGAGCAAGCTGCTCGCTTCGCCGTTGCTGCGTGGCATTGGCTGCCACCTGTTCCGCCGTCGTGGCGGCAATGTGCTGGACCACGGCCTCCTGTTGGGCCGCTGCACCCTGTGCAGCCGAAGCTGCCTGCGCCATCTCAGCTGGCGTTGCCATGTCCGCCTCGTCGGTCTGGATCTCCCGAAGGCAGGCTCCAGTGCTCGCTGGTGCGGGGCAGAAAGCCCTGGCACCAACTCTCCACTCAACCTGCTTCCAACTCAGAGATTGAAGACCCCAAGCACCGACAAGGAAGACTCGTCCCAATGGTCCAACCAAAGAGGCGAAGTCGGTGTGGCCCTGCTCTGGCTGCCCTGCAGCCAACAAAGAAAAACCAAGGATCAAGATTCCCAGCCAGCGCCCGGCAGCGGTCGTAAAAGATCTCGTTGTCGGGCCGCGGCGCGAAGAAAGGAGCACCGGAGCTATGCCGCACAAGGCGGGCTTACAGGCACGCGGGGCGGACGTCCTAGGTAGCGATGGGGATATTGGGTCCGGTCCCCGGCACAACTTCGAAAGCCTGTGCCCTGGAGCGCGAAGCTCCGCTACCATGAAAACTCTAAAGACGTGGTCCTT